AAAGCTACCTTTTTTAATGGAAAATTCAAAAATTTAATTTCAAAACAGGAAATATTCTTGAAGTGGCTACCAAAAAAAGCATAGAATTTCATAACATAGGGTAATATAGGTATTGTATCAACTATTTAAATTTAATCAAACAAACAAAAGTGTGAAGAAAATTGCATCAACAAGGTTTATCTTATTCTTTTGGTCTTTCATCAAAGTTGCCAGTAGACAGGAAAAATGGATAGAAGAGCTTTATTCACATTCTAAGTATGACTATTCATCCTATGTGAGTGTAAACAGTATTCCTACTATATTCACATTTAGTTCACTTCTGAGTTACACAGGAAATAGATGTCTAACAATTATCATTTAACTGAGACTCTAAGAGAGGCAAGGAAAGCCAAGAAAAATCGAGAGAAAAGAGTCAGAGACCAATAGCTCTTAACTTTAGTTATATATGAGAATGTTTAGATACAAAACATTATGCAGTTAATAGCTATATGAGTTCCTTTGACCTCAAAGTCTATGCATGATGGTCCAAGACCTAGGGAGAGGCTGAGAGATGAGAGGATATGGAGACAGATTTTGAGGACAGTGAGATTGTGTATAAAATAGTTCTCACATCAGCTATATGCAGATAATCAAATGGTATGAAAGGTTTCAAGTGTGAGAAGCACTATGTTTTTCATTTGATCAAATCAATAAACCAATCAAATTCATTTGATGACTTCTTCATCTTCCAAATTACCCAACTGCTTTCTTTGTGTTTAGGATTATAACACCGGGCTCAGATATTCTTCCTCCCCTGACCTCCCTTCCTCTAGCTCAGACACACACCCACACCCACACCCACACACACCCCTCCCCACACACACATGTTCTAAGCATGTGCTGTGCCCATATATGCCTCCATTACATTTAGAACTGGATTACACATGCAGGAAAGGGAAGGGCATTTATGTAACCTCATCTCTTCTCTCTGCAACAACTTAAGCCAACACTGTCTTTGGCAATATGTTTCTCAGATCCCTGTGAATTTATTTTTCCATCAGATACCCTCTACACTCCACAGACATTTCATAATGCTTCCTTAAGGAAAAAGAAAATGAAGCCATGATGATAACAAAGTCTTTATCAAGGCAAGAAAACAAATTAGTGTTACTCTGTCCTGGGAAAGATTCCTGTCAACCTTGAAAGTGTTTCCTGACTTATGACTGTAAGTGTGGAGCAAGTATGAGCTTGTCTTCAAGAACAGAAATTTCTAAACCAGGGCTCAGCTTTAAATATCACTTCCATTGAGCACAGCAGCACAGAGGCATCAGATAGAAGCAAGCTCTCTGGTAACACACACCAAGACTACAACAGCCTCGACCTTCGGTTCTGATGTGAGCTAAGTGAAAACAGGATGGTGGTAATTTTTTGGCTGTAGAAGGGAACACTGGGATCCTTGATGTTGATACCCAGATTATGCAGAATACCTCTTATTCAAAGTTCTGCTGAGTTTAACGTGTCTTGGAACTCGTGAATCCACAGAACTGACACGCCTCTGAGATAGATTTACTGCATAAGTATCTGGAATCAGAGCATAAGGAACAATGGAGAATGGGGCCAACTGTTTCAGAGACTCTTTAGACGTAAAAGATATGATTCTTATAGTCTTGTGTTCTGCACAGAACAAGTAACTGAATGATTTCCTACCCTTTAGTGGCCTTCATTTAAACCAAGGAAACTAACCCACTTTGGGGAGAAGCTGTAAGAAGAGTAAAAGCAGTTAAATGAGAGAAGAGAACTAATCTTGAGGAGGCCAAAGAAAATGGAACACAGCCAGAGGAACGCGAAGATGGTTTCTGTATGAGCATAAGGCATGCAGTCAAGAAGCTGTAGGATCAGGCCAATCTGGGACCTGGAGGAGCTTCCAGAAAAGTAAAGGAAAGAGTGAGGAGAGTATCTAACGACAAGAGAAAGGGCTGTAGGTATGACCTTGTCACTTGTCTACCCAGCTCTGCTTAAAGTTCTCAACATGGCCCCTATTTTTTTTCCACAAGCAAATATGCTTCCAGAAATCTATTGTTACAGAGCATACAAACATAAGAGTCCAGGGGAATGGGAGGGTTCAGTATCTAAGGAAATCCAACAAAGAAACTATCAGATGACTCAAATTTTCCTCAGCATCATGAAGATACCCTCAAACTATCCTGATGCAAGTATCTCCCTTGTTCAAGGTGCTATATGGCATGAAACTGAACACACACACACACAGAGCCTGGCTCCAAGATGACCAGATGTCCCCCAAACTTTGCTGGAACCACAAAAATGTAGAAACTTCTATTAAGCTTGTTGTTGATGATGATAGTGCCAAGGCTGTGGAAGAAAATAGTCCACAATAATAAAGTTTAAAAATGTGCCTTTAAAGGCACATTTATGCAGCTTTAGGGTAAAGGAGAAGAGAAAAAAGACCCTACTCTTTTGAGTGTCCCCAACTGGCCCAGTCACTCTTAAGATGATCATCCTAGTTGTTCTTTTGTCGTTCAGTTACCACGTCATATCTGACTCTTTGCGACCCCATGGACTGCAGCAAACCAGGCTTCCCTGTCCTTCACTATCTCCCAGAGTTTGCCCAAGTACATTGAATCAGTGATGCCATCCTAGTTATTAATGATGACCATCATAGTTATTAACCATTTATTGAATGATAGCTACGTAATTTTTAAACTCAACACCTGATCAAAATGTGCTGATTCACTTAACCCTTAATACTGTTCTTTTAACTTTTTTCTCAGATAGTAAGGAATCTGCCTCTGCCTGGGTTCAATCCCTGGGTCAGGCAGATCCCCTGGAGAAGGGAATGGCTTCCCACTCCAGTATTCTTGCCTGGAGAATTCGATGGACAGAGGAGTGTGGCGGGCTACAATCTATGGGGTCACAAAGAGTCGGACACAACTGAGCAACTTTCGTCTCATTTTAACTTTTTTCTTTGAATTTAGATACTTACCAAAAGATACATAAGACCTGGGGAATTTCTGGAGAAATCAAATTCCCCCATAAAAGGTAAACAAATGAAAGAACGAACAAAGCAGCCGAGAGGACTAACCGCGTGACTCGTATGTCTTCATTCGTCGTTTATGGGACGGCTGCTCTGTACCTGTGCGGCACTGGAGACGTCGCCATGCACAACACCCCGAAGCTTATATGCCAGTGAGGAAACACAGGTGTGTTCATTTCTTAAGACTGCGGCAACACGTTATTACAAACTGGGTGCTTTAACACATCAAAACTTTATTCTCACAGTTCTGGGGACGAGGAGTCCAAAATCCAGATGTCAACCGGCAGCTCACCCTGTGAAGGCTCTGATTGTTATTACCACCTAATTATTTAAATGGGGCTTCCCTAAGTGGCTCAGACAGTAAAGAATCTGCCAGCAATGCAGGGAGACCCAGGTTCGATCCCTGGGTTGGGAAGATCCCCTGGAAAAGGAAACGACAGCCCACTCCAGTATTCTTGCCTGAGAAATACCACGGGCAGAGGAGCTAGATATAGTCTTACCATACAAAACCAGTTTACAATTCCTTCAGAAAATAAGTTACATGTATACATTATACTCTTCTTTTCTTTTTTAATCTAAAGCCATTTCTGCTAAAACTTGAAGAGAAAAGCAGCATTTCAATTTACTTTTGTTCTCAACACAGTCATCATTAAACAACAGGAAACTTAGTTTTCCCTAAGCACATGCAGGAGGCTTCCCAGATGACTCAATGGTAAAGAATCTGCCTGCCAAGCAGGAGATGCTGGTTCGATCCCTGGAGAAGGAAATGGCAACCCACTCCAGTATTCTTGCCTGGGGAATCCCATGGACAGAGGAGCCTGGCGGGCTACAGTCCATGGGGTCACAAAGAGTCGGACACCATTTAGCGACTAAACAGCAACAACAAAGTATGTACAGATCATTGTTGTTGCAAAAAAAGTCCCTCTCTTTTCCTAGGGAAATGTTTAGGGAAATTTGCTAGTATATCCACTCCCTCCTTTTTTTCACAAGAATTTCCTACTTCAATGGGAGTGTTTAGAAAGAGCACGAGGAGCTAGATGTTTTCACATGAGACTTTAATAATGCTGTACTTTGTATTTACATATTATATAGTCTTGGTACTTCATAACTCATTATCATTTCAAATTTAGAAACCAGTATATGAAAGCACAAGGTTTAGAAGCAGCTCTCCCCTGCCTGACAGCAAATTATTAATGCCAGGTTTGGAATTCAATTACTGACACATGTGTTTGTAGTCCTACAACATTCAAAGATCATTTTCATAACATAAAATGAAGTGTTCAGTAAGTAGGACATATCAATTATCAAACATTCCATTTATTCAAAATAATGTTAAGAACCATGGAGCTTTAATCATACAAATAACTATATTAAACCCCTTATGTGCTCAGTCACTTCAGTCATGTCCAACTCTTTGGGACCCCATGGACTATAGCCTGCCAGGCTCCTCTGTCCTTGTCTTGGGCAAGAATACTGGAGTGGGTTGCCATTTCCTTCTCCAGGGATCTTCCTGACCCAGGGATCGAACCCGTGTCTCTTGCGTCTCCTGCATTGCAGGCGGATTCTTTACCACTGAGCCATCAGGGAAACCCCACTGAACCTCACAGGCCTACGTTAATATGAATATAGATTAAAGGTGTCATTCAATTAAGATTAGTATTTAATATAGATTCATAAATGTATATACATATATAATCTAATTAGTTCCACAAAATGGAAGGTATTTCAATCAAAAAGTCAGCAAATGTGTCAGCACACTTAAAAATATGAACTACTGCTTTAACAATTTTTCACCAACAAGCTGTAATTCCAAAGGGCACAAATGCCTCTGGTCAGACTGCTATGTATGCTATCAAGTGTCTCCTCACTGGAATAAAAGCATCCACTGTCTGCTGATTTACTCAGGAACTTAAGGTATCCAATTCTTAAGCAGTGCTCACTGTGGTTTTAATTCCAGCATCTTGAACACTCATATGTCGGGGAGATTCTGTAAGATCTGTCTCCAGGAAGCACAGGTTACCATGTGGGCATCAGAAGGGAGATTAGCAAGTGACTGAATCAGCTTCTTGACTATTGTTTTCAAACACTGATGGGCAGCATTCAAATCTCTGTCAAACTGCTGTCCTTCAGTTTGTAGAGCCAAATGACTGCAGATGTTTCTAAGCTCAACACTGTCCTGAAGTGAAGAGCAAACACAAACAAGCAATTAGGTTATGGAGGACAGTTTTCACTCCCATCTTTTGTGATGACAGAATGTCAATTTTCCTCTCAGATCATCATTCTCCTCCATTCTCAGCCCACGTAGTTTGACCAAAGCTGACCCTACTCCACAACTCCAGGGGCAAGGTCAATCAGAGCACATCATCCCTCAGCCACTTCGATTGACCAGGGATGGGCAGATGACCTAAGGTGGGTCAATAAGACCCAGTCCCAGGAGGTTTACTCAACTGGGAAAGAGAAGTTCTATTTAACTGGAGCTGTTGGAAAACATCTTGCCACCATAAGGAGAGAATTCAAATGAAAGTAAAGCCAACACATTAAAAAAAAAAAAAAAAAAGGAGAAACAAGAGATTAAAAGAGACTGACTTCAATTACATTTTCTGAGCATGTCAATCTAGCTGTGCTTGGACAATAAATCCCAGGATTTTTTAGCTATCTGAATCAATAAATATTTCTTTCTACTTAAGCCATTTGGAGTTGAATTTCTCATGCGTGCTAAGTTGCTTTAGTCATGTCCAACTCTTTGCAACCCTCTGGACTGTAGCCTGCCAGGCTCCTTTGTCCGTGGGATTCTCCAGGCAAGAATACTGGAGTGAATTTCTCTTTATTTGTTCTTAAAAGAGCTTTGATGAATACACAGATAGACTCTGTTCCTTTTATTCCATAATTACTGTCTTCAAGATCCCAAAATAGGATTTGGTATTTAATGAACATGGTCCCATGAAATGTCTGATGCAAATTTAGAAAGAGTTCACAGGTAGTTTTAAAGGATGAACTAAAAAAAAAAAAAAGAACCTAAAATAAATAAATAAAGGATGAACTAATTAAATAGATCTTTAATTTTCAAATATTTCACATTCTAAAATCCATTGCATTTAAATGGTACACTGAAATTATTCCACATCAGAGATAATGTTGACTATATGTTTTATTTTAAATACAGTTGACTCAAACAGCACAAGATTGAACCACACAGGTGCATTTATATACAGATTTTTTCCAGTAAATATGAACTATAGTACTAGAGGCTGAGACGGTAAAAATCTGCCTGCAATGCAGGAGATCCGGATTCAACCCTGGGTCAGAAAGGGCCTCTGGAGAAGGGAATGGCTACCCACTCCAGTATTCTTGCCTGGAGAATTCCATGGACAGAGAAGCCTGGCAGGCCACAGTCCATGGGGCTGCAAAGAGTCGGACATGGCTGAGCAACTAACACTTTCACACTATCCACAGTTAGTTGAATCCATAGATTTGGAAACTTGGAGCTGGAGGGCCAGCTATAAAATCACACACAGATTTCTGACTGCTTGGAGGGCCAGCACCTCTAACCCTATCCTTCAAGATTCAAATATACATGAAAATGACTCCCTCTAGACTTCTGGTTCTGTCACTTGGCACATACAGTTTCCCCAAAAGGCCTTGCTACTAAATTCTAAGCAGTAGAATAAACATCCTTTCTGAGCTTACAAGGGTGTAATGGAAATTTCCAAGGGCCAAGAATAAAAGAAAGGTGAATTACTTTAGCTGCGTGCCAATACCTATCAAGAAGAGAAAGTTGGTCTCTCTTGAGCTGGGTTTGGGGTAGAAGGTAAAGTTGTCTTATGAATGTGCAACAGTGGACATGTACTATACAGTAGTTCCAGCTTGTAGTTGCCCTCCATACCATATACATGTTCTTAGAACACTCATGCCAAGAAGTTAATTTAAAAATTGCAACTGGTCTGAAATATCCATGGACACATGGCAAAAGCAAACAAAAGCCTATTCCACAGAAACCTGTTCGAAACCCATGCCCCACAATAGTACTGCCAGAAAGTCTGTTGAAGACAAACTTAGAATATGAAATTTAAAGTATAGTCCACCCTGATATAGTATATATAATGCAGGGCAGAATTAGACTCCAAGAATTTCAGGTATAAATTATAAAATATATGTATCATGGTTAAAGATATAAAAGAAAAAAGTTAGAAAAAAACTCCCAAGAAAAAACAAGCTTGAAAAAGAACCTAATCCCACTTCTGGAGATGACAACTATCACGACAAATTAAGAAACTCAATGGGAAACACATTAATAAACACAGCTGGGGAGAAGATTAGTAAAGTGAATGATAAGTTTGAGAAAATTATCCAGAATGCAAAATAAAGACATGGGAAATATGAGAAGTTAACTGACATAGACAACAGAATGACAAAGTATGACAAATATATTTTCAGGAGAGATAAGAAAGAACAAGAGAGAAGAAGTAGTCAAAGAGAATAATGGATAAAAAATTATCCCAAATTGATTCAAAATGTGAATCCTAAGATTCAGGAAATGAAACAAGCTTTGAGCAGAAAAAGTTAAATGAGATCCAAATCTAAACTCATTAAGGTAAAACAACCATATAGGAAAAGAAACCACATAGGTAAAAGCAACCATATAGAAAAAAGATGGCACTCAATCTGGATAACCAAACAGCTAACTTCCAGCCACCTTCTAAGCCACAACAGTTGAAGATAAAGGAAAAGAATAATATCCTCAAATAACTGTCAACCAAGATTTTTTTTTTAATTCCACTGAACTACCATTTAAACATCAAGGCAAAATAAACATGCATTCATTTCAAAGCACAAAAAGAATTATCACAGTAGACTATCACTGTCAGATCTTCTTAAAGATATAATTCAGAAAGAAGAAATTCAAAGAAAGAGATGTAAGAAGCAACAGTGAACAAAGAAACTTAAAAACACACCATAAATCTAAAGATTTGGTTAATTAAAAAAAAAAATTTTAACAACTAACTTGGGGTTCACTAAAGCAAGATGGTTGTAAAACTCTGAGGTACAGTCACATGTAGGATGCAGTGGCGTTCTAAGGCATTGCATCATTGAAGACAAAAGTGACAAAGGTGATCAATTTTAGGCTTGTTAAGTATGCCTGTGAGAAATGTAAGGATCATTGTTAAAAGGAGAGAAATATGAGGCCAGAAAAGTGGTGCCACGCAGGACGGAGAGAAGTGTTCAGCTGCCCCTTCCCAGACCTGGTAAAGGACCACAGGCTTTGAGGCCCTTTCCTGTCGCTGCAGCAGACTTCGACAATGTCCGCAAGATGACAGTGCTGGAGTTTCTGTCCATGGGAAACTTTCTGTGGTATACAACTTTTTTTCAAGTATAGAAATAGTACATCATATTTCAGAATCAGCAGAGGGAAAAGATATATCAAAACTTTATTGATCCTACTGATAGAAGGTAAAAATGGAGAGAAAAATGATTCAAACATAAAGCAAGATGAATAGAAATCTAAAATGTGGCACAAATAAACCTGTCTCCAAAACAGAAACAGACTCAGACATAGGGAAGAGACTTGTGGTTGCCAGGGTTGTGGGCGGCAGGGTAGAGTGACAGTCTGGGAGTTTGGGGTTGGTAGATGCAAACCGTTATATATAGGATGGATAAACAACAAGGTCCTACTGCACAGCACAGGGAACTGTATTCAATATCCTGTGATAAACCATAATGGAAAAGAATATAGAAAAGAATGTATATATGTGTATAATTGAGTCATTTTGCTATACAGCAGAGATTGGCACAACATTGCAAATCAGATACACTCCAAATGAAAAAGCACCAAATAAGTCACTTTTTGAAATACAGTGGTTCCCAGGTTGGATATTCAAATTTTATCCAAATGCTAAAAGCAAAACATTTAAAACTAAAAACATCCAAGATTGAAAGTAAATGACTACTAAATATATATCAAGCCAAGTCAAAATAAATCTGGACAAATCATTTTTAGGGATAAAATAAACTGCACCATGAACTATTGCCCAAGAAGACAGTTTTGTACTTGTGTGTATCTAATATGATAACCTCAATTTACACTCAACCCACAGATAAAGACTAATTTTAATTCGTCCTTCTCAGAAACTGATCAGACAACAGGACAGTCAGCCTAGAGAGAAAAGATTGAAAATCTTTTCTAATCATAAGCTTGGCCTAATGGAGACAGGCAAATATACATTATTCTCAAACATCTATGGATTAATTATGAAAGATTAAAGTGAAAGTCGCTCAGTCATGTCCAACTCTTTGCCACCCCATGGACTATATAGTCCATGGAATTCTCCAGGCCAGAATACTGGAGTGGGTAACCTTTCCCTTCTCCAAGGGATCTTCCCAATCCAGGAATTGAACCAGAGTCTCCTGCATTACAGGCAGATTCTTTACCAGCTGAGCTATGAGGGAAGCCCTATGACTTTATGGTAATGCCACAAAACAAATCTCAATATAAAAGTTTATATCATTCAAATCAGAAAGGAAATAAATGAGAAACCAATAATATAGATAACCTTCCCCAAACAAGTATGACTTAAAAATCCACTTCTAAATAACTCATGGGTCAGTGAAAAAAATAATTGAAACTTGAAATGCTCTGTTGTTGTTCTTCAGTTGCTAAGTCCTGTCCAACTCTTTGCAACCCCATGAACTTCAGCATGCCAGGCTTCCCTGTCCTTCACTACCTCCCAGAGTCTTGCACAAACTCACATGCATTGTGTCAGTGATGCCATCCAGCCATCTCATCCTCTGTTGCCCACTTCTCCTCTTGCCCTCAGTCTTTCCCAGCATCAGGGTCTTTTCCATTGAACTGGCTCTTCACATCGATGGCCAAAATGTTGAAGCTTCAGCGTCAATCCTTCCAATGAATATTCAGTGTTGATTTCCTTTAAGGTTGACTGGTTTGATCTCCTTGCTGTCTAAGGGACTCTCAAGAGTCTTCTCCAGCACCACAGTTCAAAACATCACTTCTTCGGTGTTCAGCCTCCTTTATAGTTCAGCTCTCACAACTGTATGTGATTACTGGAAAAACCATAGTTTTGACTAGATGGACCTTTGTTGGCAAAGTAATGTCTCTGCTTTTTAATATGCTGTCTAGGTTGGTCATAGCTTTTCTTCCAAGGAGCAAGTGTCTTCTAGTTT